ACCTGGTGTTAGTGAAACAATTTGTGACGAGAGTGGACAGCCTATCTACAACTTATCAAAACGTTTGGAGCGTTGGGCTGAGCACTTTGAAAGCAATTTAATCGGCCGGAATTGTTAGATTTCTCGCCGACCAGTGATCGCCGTGCTCCGTGGGCTATCCCTTTGGATCCACCCTCTCGCTCAGAAGTCAAAGGTGAGATAAAACTGTTGAAGTTAAATTAAGCCACGTAACCTGATGATCTTCCTTCAGCCCTCTTCAAATTCGAGGGACCTGCTCTTGTTGATAATTTACACGAATTGCTAGTTAAACTCTGGGATCAGGAAATTGTCCCAACCGATTGGAGCCGCTTCGTCATAGTCCCAATTTTCAAGGGAGGCTCACGACCAAAATGCGGCAGCCATAGAGGAATCAGTCTGATCTCCATCGCCTCCAAATTGATTGCCTCTGTGATCCTTCACAGACTGACTGGCACGCGTGAAGCCAGATTCGTGAAGAGCAAGCCGGGTTTCGTCGAGGTCGTAGCTGCATTGACCACATCTTCACCATGCGTCAGTTTTTGGAGCACCGTCACATATATTGGCGGCCCACCATTGTCGTGTTCCTGGATATCAAAGGTGCATTCGATTTGCTAGATAGACATGCACTTTGGGGCTGTCTACTCAGGAATGGTGTCCCTGAGAAATATATGAATATTATCCGAGCATAATATGCGCATAGCTCGGACAAAGTGAGGGTTACGGCAAGTTGTCGTCGCCCTTTAATATCTCCAGCGGTGTGAGACAAGGATGCCCGCTGTCACCTTTCCTCTTCAACTTCGCTGTTGACGAAGTCATGGAAATCGCGTTCACAGGACACGACTTAGAAGGTGTGGATCTGCTCCCAGGAGAACGACTTCTTGACTTAGAGTATGCTGATGATATTGCCCTCATCTGTGACAGATACTAGACGTGCCAATCTGCAATGGACAGATTGGCACTAGCTGTCCGTCACTTCGGGCTTTGCTTCGCACCCTCGAAGTGCAAAACGTTTCTCCAAGATTAGTGTGGACCGCCTCCTACGCTGACCGTTGGTGGGGATCAGCTAGAAGTCGTTCAAAAATTCAACTACCTGGGAAGTTGTATCAGCGCCCGTGGGATTGAAGATGAGATCACGAACCGTATAGCAAAAGCTCGCAGCGCTTTTGCTAACCTCCGCCACTTATTGCGCCGGCGCGACATCACTCTTGACCTGAAGGGTAGAGTGTACAATGCAGCGGTACGTTCGACCCTACTGTACGGTTGTGAAACCTGGCTCCTTAAAGCAACGGACCTGAAGAGGCTAGTTACGTTCGACCACTGGTGACTTCGCAATTTAGCTCACATCTGGTGAGAACACCGCGTGAGCAACGAGCGTGTTCGACGCCTTGTGTACGGCATAGGAAAAGGAAATGACTCGCTCAGCACTGTTATTTCACGCACCAGGCTCCGATGGCTCGGCCACGTGTTACGCATGCCAGCCCACCGACTTCCGCGACGTGCGTTGTTTGCGCGCGGGGGGTGTAGTTGGAAGAAGAGGAGGGGTGTCCTAGCGATGACTTGGTCCAGAGGAATGAAGGCCCTCACTTCTGAGCTGGCCTCGCTTGGAGCGTCTCGGCTCCCTGGTTGGGGTCTGAAAGACGATGAACACGTTTGGTTGGACACACTTGCTGATATGACAGGGAGCCGACCTCAGTGGCGTTCGTGCTGTGTGTTTCTTTGTCCCACCCCATCCCTCTTAGCCTCCCCCTCCAACCACGATCTCATTATTTAGCCTTATATAATTTTGCATAGCAATTTTTTTTGATTCACAGTAGCCGTCTAATAGCTTACCAGAACGATGCCCATCCGTTACCGGTAGCTCAGCCGGCTTGCACCAGTTACATTTTTTCTTTTTCTCTGTGTATTGCGGCACAGTAGCTGAGGTGTTCCCCACCTCTGGCTAACGTGTAAGATGATGTGATGATGATGAAATTTTCGAAAGCAGTTCCCAGATACTTTTTTGCTGTTCGGTCGGTTATAAATGTTTGTAAGTCTGGGAAGTTGACAATGAGATGAAATCGCATATGGACCAAATTAAAGTGAAGTAATACATCTATTCATGGAGCCGTCTCCTGGGGATCTGCTCCTATACGAAGTAGTCCATCGAATAGTTTCATCCACACTTCCACGCCCCATCTGGACTTGTGCCTATGTGGCATAAGGGCAAGTAAGCCATCACCGTGTTAGCCAATTTTCTGTCTTTTGTTGTGTATGATGAGAAATATTCTCTGAGACAGAAATTATTTCTTTTAAGCCTATCAGCCCGTTTCAATATCCGACTCTTTGGAGCCTGACACTTTTTCTGTACTCACCATATCTGTGGCAATTTGCCTTGCATGAACAACCTTTTACTCACCAGTGGTTCTGCGTCTATTGGCCTCGCGTGGGTGTATTGACTATTTGGAAGGCTTCACTCTGCCACCTCAGAACATCGGTCCAGTCGTGAACGAGAATAAGCGAAATTTAGTGAAATAAAGCTATTGATAAGTGAGTTACACATCTCTGACGGATTCTGCTTCAGATTTTACATAGGAGTTACATAGAAATATACAAATGACTACTCCCTGATGGGATTTGAGATCGATGCTATGAGCTAGAACATTTAAAGGATAACACGAGGTAATTTATTCAGTGGACAAAATCTGTCGCCTATAGTTATGGTGGATCGGTCAAAATATCAGAAACGTTTTCCTAAAATACAGTCTACAAACTCGTCCGGACAATATGGATGGCCAGGTGACTCACTAGCTGATAATGATCTACGCATTTGTTGAGGCGCTAACTTACACACAACTTCTCGATTGAGCCGTGGTGGGGCGCAGCGAAGGCTCCAACTGTATGATAGGTAAACCTGGACGATTCCAGGCACAGTGACTGTGACCGTTAAATAGATACAACTTTTCGTTTCAGCTTCCTTTTACTGCAACCGAATGAGCTCAGTGAGCATAATGAAGAGTTCACCGTGTTCCTCCTCGTGATACCAAAAAAGAGACTTGTCTGTCCCGAAGGTTAAGGAGTTTCAGTGCGGAGCGTTCCAGAACTGCAAATAGTAATAGTGATCCGTGAGCGGATATGCAAAAGAGAGAGAACGTTCGAAAGCACTTGTTAAGCTAGATCGAATGAATATGGGCACAATTTACAGGCACCATTTGATGCAAATTAAGTGCTCCGACATGTTCCGACGGCACACTGGGTAACTCTTTTTGTATAAAGTACGGATCTACTACCATTTTTAATGTCATGTATCTTGATCTTTTTGTTCGCTTATTTGTCCCTGTATTGTAAATGGGACGGTGTTCGCGGCACCAGCTTTTATGGTTCCAGCCTTAGCCTTATACTTCGCCACATGCACTATCACGAGTGTTGCCATCATTCACAGCGCATTTCCTGTGTCAGTTTTCCCCCTCTTCCTCAGTTGATCTTCCACTGCTTTGAATTGCTCATGTAATATTTTTGAGATCCCAGACAAAACTAATTTGCGATTCGTGGTAATCATTCAGGTTTACGAACGGACGACGGGTGCTGCGATCTACGAATACTGGAAATATAGGAGTGGTTAGTGTGCACAAAGGAGTTATTGGGTCATCTCTCTAATATAGGCGCGTTGCATTGAGATAAAGCTCAACGTTCTCTCTTTTTCCATAATCGTTCTGTTGTTTTGGGTGTCGTTCTGTTATCTGACCTCGTAAGTTGCAATTCGTCATTTTCTGTACACGGTCAAACAGCCACTGCACTCTTGGAAAAGCGTTGGATTAACGTTTCCTCTTTTCGGGGATATTCAGTAGTGCGCATTCCATCTGTCCCTTATGGAACCATAATTGCGATCCTGCTGTTACCATATCGTGGTTTTGAACACGGCTTGCTGCGATTGTCGTAGTAGCTCTGGAAGCAAACTCTGCCTTCTACACGTTCGTAACAGGCACGACTGGAAGATGAGCCGCGCTATACCACAGTAAGATTAGTAATGACCGTCAGTTGCCGTCACCCATGGTTCAGTCTCTGACTCGTAAGAGTAAAGTCAAGTGTTCAAATCCGACGGGTGTGCGCTGCTGACGGGTCCTGTTCGGACGAAACGGCCGTCTAGCGCGTTCATGGACGTGTGGTGACTGTCTGGTTGTGTCTAGCTTCAACCGACCTTTTCCAAAAATGATTCAGACTAGTCCTTCGTAGTCTGAGCTCCACTATTAATCTTGTTCGTGCGCGCCATACGTTTTGCCTTTCCAAGGTTATCCATTTCCATCCATTGCCGATAATCATACAGCCACACGATTATAAATCGTCGGATCCCACATGCTGAACAAGGTCCAAATGACAGGGGCGATAGTGGGAGGAATTCAGACTGTATACGGATAAGGAGGTTATGCTACCATCGACGTCTTATCCGCTGTCGCATTTCCTTTCTCCACGTAGTCCCCAGCAGCATGCCAATTTTTCGACTTATTGGAACTGTTTTCTAGCCTCTGTTTCCTATCTTGTCTGACAGGCTTCTGAGGTGTAGCATATTGACTTTTTATCTGGTTGTTGTTGTTGTTGTTGTCACACGTTCTTAGTCGCACACTTGCTTATCTTGCGCTTCTGTTTTATCATTGTTGCACCCCTCTTCGTCTTGAGCCCACTTTTTGCATCATTGCTTTGAACAACCTTGCCTCTATCTATCTCTATGGTTGGTGCCTCAGTTGTTTGTAAGCTATCTTGTATCCAATTCATTATTCCAAAAATTCGAAGACCTCATTTCTTTCCCAACTCCCCTGCATCTGTGTTCCGGACTATCTCAAAATCTCAGCTTTCTTACACCCCATTAGACTGATTCTTATTTCCGTTTGCATCTGGTCGCTCCGCCTTCTCACTGGTCCACTGCTCTTCTATGCTAACTTGCTGCAACTTCACGGTCTTACATTTAGTGATACATCCCAACGGAACATGCACTTTTGTCTCCCCTTCAGTTACTGTTATCTCTTCTCGAGTGGAAAAATTCCCATCTTTCAATTTTCAAGTTGGCCGGGCGGAAGCGTTAGGAGCGCTCTGCCGGATCATAATCTACGCGCGTCGGTGCGAGCTAGATAAAGCCTATCTTACGCGGTTCTACCTCTGTCTGTATTACGGCTTAGAAACCGGAGCCGGAGTGAGTCAACTTATCATTCCATTGCGATATCCGCCTTTAGACGACGTTGTATGTTATGGATTGTCATTTATTATTGTTTTTATTGTACATCTATCTGTCAACTTTGCGTACTTACTATCGTTTGTGCTATTGTACAAAATTGAATACGGCTTTTTCTCGAATTACTATGTCCATCTACGAACAACTCGGTTGGCAGTGACTTTAATTCAGTGATGTCTGGTGATACGGCTACCGCAAATTTCCTTTGATATCTGCAACTCTAATACCAGAAGCTCTAGAGATGCACACACGGTATGATCGCATAGAAAAGGTCCATGTCATGCTCACCGATTAAGATACGAAGTATCCAATCTCTCTGTACTGTTAGCTATGAACCTCTCGCGAAGAGTAGTTATCGCTTTGTTTCCACTTGTCGTGTTTGGTGCGACTGAAGAGTATTTCGATACCTTTTAAAGAAGCACTATGTTTATCCCTCTTCTACTTCCATCGATGGCTACCGAGTTGATGGTCTGTCTTTTGTTGCGTCAGCCAACCAGCGGCTTTGATGCATACAACTACGGTCCACTGGATTTCCTCTGTATGCCAACTGTCTCAGCCTGTTCATTTGTTCAATCATCCATCAATTGGCCCGTTGCTTGATCGATTGAGCCATCACTGCACTTTGATCATCAAGCTTGTTATCCAGATACGATTTACGCCTCTTCAATGGTTTACTTCCACATGTATCAGGATTTACAATTGTGCTCTTTTCCTTGATCTTCCTGACATCTGAAGGGATCTGCCTGTAGTATCGATCATATTATGTGCAGCTGCGCTATGCCTTTTGAGCCGTATTGCCTCATCATGTTGTCTCTCATGTATCTGTTTGGTCTCTCGTCTCGTCTGGTCCATGAAGCAGAGAAGTTAGCTGAACTCCGCATTATTACGCTCAGGGTTCCTTTGGCAGACCCCTCGCTTTGTCCCAGTTTAACAGTGTGTAAAGAGGATTCCTCTATTTTCGTTTAGGAATGTGATCTGCAAAAGATCCTGTACCCTTATTCTTCATTATTTCGAGTTCATGAACATCGACTCTCTCGCTTGTACATGGCATGTTTATATTCATGTTTATATCTATTGTGTCCTGTTATTACTGGAATCTTTTTGTCACGCCATTTTCTGTCCTTTACTGAATTCACATTTGTGATCCTATGTCCTCCAGTGGCTTCTTCATCTTTCTATGAGCTTCTTTTCAAACTTTTTAGCGCAGCGACTTTGTGCTCTCCACGTTGCTGTTCAATGCTATCGATTTGTTGCGCGCTGATTTACCAGGGATCAACATTCTGCTTCCCCGCATCTTTGCTGCCTGTTCACTTGTTTACAGCGAAGAATGCATCATGTAAGTCATCGTATGGCGTATTTCCCCCCTGATCCCACTTAATTGGCGCTTTTTTGATTAATTTTCGGATAGCACTCTGAGCGGAGCGAATCAGCTTCTGCCGGTATCCGGCTATACACGCCCGTGATCAGCTGCTTTTTGCTCTGAATTTATGACAGTGTGATGTCATTCGTTTGCAGCGTCCCACTTTGTGTTCATATTTTTTCCATTTTTCTGGCTCATGTGGTTGAGACTCGAGTCAGTGGTCCGTAGAGCACTAAACTATCGGCCCAGTCTACTTGCACAGGCAGCTTCATCCGCTGTTATGTTTGGCTTGTCGTTTCTTATATCTCATTTGTACTTCAACGATACCTTAACACCGGAGACTACAATTTTCACTGAGGCCCTGTGCATTCAATGTTCAAACGCATTCACCTGTAAGATTTCTATGTTATGGGCTTTGGCAACATAAGACAACGTTGCGGCTCACTTAGATTTTAAGTCGCTTGTGCGGTGGTGGTTGGCGATCGAGTAGCAATGACTCCAGACGGACCTCTCGTTTGCTCACTTCGATATCCCCAAATCGATTCCAAATGAGCATGTCGATAATACCAATTGGATACTTGGTTAGGAATGCTACGAAGAGCATTTCGGTCTATCTTGAGATGAAATGCGCCGATTTGTTGTAACTCAAATCGACGCGAGATATAAACTGATTTTGTCTTCTGAACAATCGAATGTTGATCGAGTCCCGGACTTTGTTTTTGATTCACGGGGGGCCATCACGACAGATTGCCGAATTAAAATATGATAGTGTAATCTATTCATTTCGCGCCCATTGCGTGTTTTATGTCTGACAAGGCTCGTTGCAGTAGGCTTGCAACTACGCATATTCGGAGAAGAGCGCTAGCTGAGTTAGGTTTTGGCGAACGTTCTCGGAAATTGCTCTTGTAGTTGCCTTGGTGACGGGGCTTCCCTTTACCGTTCGACTTTGGTGCTGTGTGGTCACATTTTGTGCCGCTGTTCGCTATATCTCTCGGTCGGTTAAAATTTTTCTTACTTATTTTTGGTCCTGATTACTCTTCCACGATTCATTCTGTACGAAGCCGCACGATTTGATGACTCACTTGATCCGATTTGTGAACCACGCTCGTATAAGCCGTGTGGCTTGATTCATGATTATATTTTGCTTTGTTTCACTAATTGGGATGCAGGAACCTTACCTGCTTGAAGGGCTAGGAGGGTTCCACTAAATACTTGAACACTGACACGTTCAGTCGACCGACCATAGCTGTATCCTTAGATATTCGAGCGTCGTTTGACTCTGTTGACAGACTGGCTCTTTGGGACTGCCTACTGAAGAGATGCGTACCATGTACTGTCGAACTTTGGGTCCCTTAAGAGCATACGACGACTTACCGCCTCCCTTCACTATCACTAGTGGTGTTGGGGTTCCCCAGCCTCTTCCTACTTTTTCAACTTCGCTATGAACAAAATTCTGGAGACTGCCCTGGAAAACTCTGGGTCCTGCGGTGTCTACTTGCTTCTGGGTGACTGTCTTCGGGACTTGGAGTACGCCGATGACATCGCTGTAATTTGTGAGTCCGCTCCCCCAGACCGTTCAACTGGAGATGTCCGCTTCACTATTTGGGCTCATCCTTGCCTCTTCCAAGTGTAAGCTCCTGTTACCGGACTGGACAAACCCGTCTCCTTCTCTCGTTCTGTCGATGCATCTGATAGAAGTGGTCGACAAATTCATTTACCTAGGGAGTTGTGTTAGTGATGGCTGTTTGACGGATGAGATCTCCTTGCGCGTATCTTGGACTAGAGTAGCTTTTGCTAGCCTCCGTCACCTGTGGCATCGTCGTGACCTTAACATCGATTTGACTGGCCGAGTCTGCAATGCTGTGGTACGAGCGGTTCTGCTGCACGGCTGCGAGACAGCCCGTTCGCAAGAGTAACCTTCAGCGGTTGTATGTCCGCTGACTTCAGAGAAATGCTGATGTTCGATGGCAGCATCACACTAAGCAGGAGGTTCATCGGTGAGTCTTCAAATCTGACAAACTCCGCCGATTGCTTGACAGCGTTGTTTCTGTGCAGTGGCTTCGCTGACTTAGGCACGTGCTTCGCATGCCTACCCAGCTATTACCACGACGTGCCATCCTTGCATGCGCAGGCGTAGGTTGAACCGACGACAGAACATCAATGTAAATCCTAGATTTAACACATTAAGGCGCATACATCGCAGCTGGTGGTCGTTGGGCACAACTCACTCCTGCGTTGGGGACCCAAGGGTCGCGAGAACATCTGGTCACAAACGCTACTGGGTATGCCCAAAGAGCGTACGCATAGGCGCGCTTGCTATAAGGCTCTTCTCCTCTAAACGTCACCTTCCATTTCAATCCACTGTTATTTCCATGTTGTCTCACCAAGCCGGCCCGTAGCCTTAAGGATCCCAAGACTGCCTTGTAATCTGAGGGCGCTGGTTCGAGCTTGCGTTGGTACCGAGCGAACCTCGCCGTATCCTTCCCTAACGTGTGACTAGTAGTGGTTGTGCGCCAGCGAAGTTTCGATACTGCGTACCGCCGTACTGCTGATGCCTTCAAGGAGCACTAAACCCATATATATATATATATATATATATATATATATATATATATATATATATATATATATATATATATATATGGCTCACATGACCGAGCCATCTCAAGTATCTCAGCAAAACTACGCAGTCAACTGCATACATTCCATTTCGACGCAACACTTCCGTGCCAGCAACTCTGTCGCCCCAACCGATGCGTAGAATCCGCCGCAAACACTGTTGATGTAACCGCTCGAGATATCGCACATCTCGCCGGTACATCGTCAACGTTTCCCTGCCGTAAAGAAGAACGGACAGCACCATGGATTTGTACACTTTCAGCTTCGTGCCAACTGTAAACTGATGGTTGTTCCAAACTCGGTACTCTAGCTTTCGACTGCCGCCTCTGCCTTCGAGACGCGGATACAAAGTTCACTGTGTAGCTGCTGGTTAGTCAACATCACACTCATAAGGTAGCAGAAGCGGGATGCTGTTTCCAATACTACAGCACCGATGTTGCTTCGCGGCAATATTGAAGATTGCACCTCCGGTGAAGGATGAAAGAGACAGACAGTTTTGCTTGTGTTGACGGTGAGCCCAAATTTGGTCGCTGTTGAAGCCAGAACACCAGTCATGTGCTACAACTCATCCATGCTGTGTACAAACAACGAGCAGTCGTCAGCAAACATCCAAATACGGATACTTGTCTCACAGATTAGAGTTCTCGCACCGAAACGACGGATGTTCAGCAACCCACGATCAATACGGTGCTCCACCCGAACACCGTAGGCACAAGCCACATCAAAAGCACAAGACAACATTGCATGAAGATATATATTAAACAGGGCAGGAGCTAAGACACAGCCTTGCTTCACATCAGAGACAACTGCAAAGTCATCCGAGATCTCTCCACTCAGCTGCACCCTCTTTCGCATACCACTGTGCAGACATTCAATTAAACTGACAAACTTACGCGGGCAACCAAACTTACCCAACACCAGCCACAATGCCTAGCGATTCACCATACAAAAAGCGAGTACAATGGCTGTTGTCGTTCTCATCACTTCTCCTGCGACTGACGAGCCGCCACCACCATATCTATAGTGCTGCGACCCGAACGGAATCCACACTGCTCTTCCGCCACGTTAGGTTCCACAACCTGACTGACGAGGCGGTTGAGCAGGATTCGGTCAATCACCTTTCGCCTTGGAAAACTGGTCCAAATTCCGCATGAAGCTGCCAGCGGAAATTCGATTAAAGGCATCAAGTACGCTGCCACGGATTACCAACGACTCACGGAGAGCGATCAGATTGTTGAACCATCCACTCATGCAACTTTGTGAAGGCATACATTTATCGACAACCACAATCTCCCACGAAACACGGCTGAACACGGGGGACCAGCAGGGCCCGGAAGGCCGCGATCAGTCGTCTAACCGAAAGCAAACTCAAAGACAAACGTCACCACAAAAAACGGTTAATGGCCGACCCGTTAACGGTCGGCACAAACTCCATTCCTACCACAACCTGTGCTAGCTCACTCTTGGTTACAAAAGCACTATCCTGCATGTATACTAATGCCCAAGGCCTCATAAGTAAGTTGGTAGAACTCCGTCACCGTTTGTCCTCGGAGCCTCGAGACATCATAATGATCGCCGAAACCTGGCTAAGCGGCGAAATCACAGACGCTGAGATTGCCATACCGGGTATGTCACTTCTCCGGAACGACAGAACGGGTAAGGGCGGTGGTGTGCTCATTTATTTCCGAACGAACCTTCGTTGTGAGCTCATAGACGATCCCCAGACTTGTGTCATCGACGTCCTTTGGTGCAAACTGTGGTTGGAACGCAACGACGTATGCCTTCTCTCTGTGGTTTACCGACCACCGAAATCCAATCCGGAAAGGGACAACAGACTTATCTCCGCTTTTCGCTCCGTGCTTAATCAGAAATACAGCCACATCCTCGTTGCAGGAGATTTCAACACCCATGATTTGGAAAATCCAGCATCCGAGACAGAAGTGTTCAAGGCATATTTGCAAGAGCTACTCTCTAGCACCTTCTTGTATAACCACGTCACCGTTCCAACCAGGTTCAGAACAGGAAACAACCCATCGATATTAGATCTAGTGCTCACTAACGAAGAGCTCATGGTCGATGGACTAAAGGTGTGCAGTCCTTTGGGCCGTAGCGATCACGTGACTTTGCAGTTCGATTACATCTGCTACGCCGAATATCCAGCTGCGGAGCTCGAAACGAGGCAATCTGTTACCCATTACCACGTTCTGTCTGCTCTAGTTGAGAATACCAGTTGGACGTTTCTAGCTAACTGCACCCCAGAACTAGCCTGGGAGACATTTGCGAACACCATCACGTCACTAGTCATAGAAGCCTCAACACCAAAAGTTTCCCAACATCCCCGCACATCGAAATCATTC